GCATTGAACTTTAACCAGTTAATCATTTGTAAATTTCTAAAAGAAGGACAAAATTGTACATGATTCTTTTAATTTTTAAATAAAAATATTTTTTCAATTATGATTATATTTAAAAAAATTATTTTTATAATATTAAAAATTCTCTTTTAATTTAACTTTGTTTAACAAAATAAGATACTTATTATTAATAATTAAAAATAATATTTTTGTAAAATTTAAAAATTTTATAAGACATACTTTAAAATTTATTTTAATTTAATAACAATCATATAATACATAAAAAATATATAGATAATTATAAATCAAAGATTTTGTTAAGGGCCTGAATCTTAAAGTGGTTATATATTTTTATTAATTTATTATAATAATTTCAAACTTGTGGATGGTCGAATCGCAAAACACCATGGTCATATTAAAATGTAACAATGAAGGAGTGGTTAGTAATACATGTCAAACTAGTCTTAATAAATTTGAAGATAAAATAAGATTATGTATAAAAAATATTATTGTAGAAGAAGATACTTGGAGAAGTTTGAGAATATATATGCAATAAAGTAACAGATAAATTTGGTTTTAGAACCTTTTTATGAGAGGGAACCTTTGGCTTTACTTGACTAAAAACAAATTAATATTGAGATTATCTGGTCAAAATTCTCTAGACACTGCTAATGGGGAGCACCAACCACAATAGATCATGCTCTCTAAAAGTCTAGCACTCACACTGTTTAAACGTACCAAATAATTTTACTTAAGTTTCTTTTAAGACAAATTTAACTAATTACAAATTTTAAAAATATTTAAACAAAATTAATTTTTTTTACAATATTAGTGTATATTTAGTTTAAATTGTTTTGAAAGAAATATGTTTATTTATAAAAATATTTTAAAAATTATTAAAAATATATAATTTAAATACATATTTAGTTTTATTTATGTTTAAGATGAGTAGTATTAACTCTTAAACTTAAATCACGTTAGAATTTTCATCGAATAAGTTAAACTAAGAACTTTTAAGACTTTACTTGATTAAAAGGCTTCATGAAAAAATTATATTTAATAAGTAAATAATAATAATAATAATAACAACAATGATAATAATAAATATATAAATTTATTTTAATAAAATTTATGTCTTAAATAATACTATTTGCTACTTGACAAATATTCTTGATCCACTTAAAAAAAGTATATTCCACTGTTAAAATTTATTAAAAAATAATTTAGCATTAAAAAAAATAAATTTGAATTACTTTGTTTATGATCAGTGCAAGACATTTGAACATTTATTTTGTTACTTATGACGTCTTCAAGCATAATGGGAAGAAAAAATCTTCAAAACCAGAAGATCAAATAATGAATCCAAGTTTGGGGTTTGGGTTGATACATTTTTTCCTTTCTCTTTAATTTACACTTGTATATTAAATTTTAAGATATTATTTTAATTTCTATATAATTATATTATGCTTTCTAACTCGCGTGTCTTTATTATTATTGTAGCGTTTCATATTAGATTAAATAGAACCAAATTAACGATAACTTATTTCCTAATCAATTATTTAAATAAAAAAAGATTTTACTTTCTATAATTTTATTAATTAGTACTTAAATTTGTAATCAATGTCAAATATAATAAAATGTTTATAAGTCATAATGAAAATAAAATATTTTTTGATTAAAATAATTTTTAATATTTTGAAAATTTAAAGTTTCAAATATATGTATATTTATATTTATACTATCATTAAATTGATTATTTATTAATTAAATTAATCTTATATAAAATTTGTATTTTTATATTCTTATAAATATCGTACAAATGTTTAAAATCAAAAGAAGCTCTTTACAAAAGTTTACAAATATGAAAACATAACTTCAGCTTACATGTTAATCTTCTTCCACCACTTCACATTACTAGTAAGCAAATATAACAAAGTAGGCAATCACAAAACTACATCGAAAGCTGAAATTTGAACACCACCTATATCAATTAATAATCCCTTGGAGATAGCATTGATGAAGCTACAATGCATGTTTGGCAGAGGTTGAGTGATGATGGGTCATTTCTTGGTGGTCTTTTTGGGAAAGATCTGTTGTATGGTGGGTGGTGGTTTAGCTGGTCCAGAGCTTGAAGCATTTCCCCTTCCTGGTTTTGGAGGGTTGGTAGGACAAAGAGCACTTTGGATTGTAACCTTTTTCGGTGGTTCCATATGAATGCTACACTTTGCAACTAGCAAGCTCTTACACACACAGATTAAGCTCTGAGAAACCCATCATTTGCTAAGCCACAATTTATAGAGGAATGATCCAGAGTTTATGTATTAAAATACTCCAAAGGCATTTAAGTGTTTTGCCCACCATATATTCTCTTGCATGCACAAAATGTTTCAGTCCATGGACCACAATGGATTCTCGTTTTGTATTTTATCCATCCTTTATTATCATATTTTTTTAAAGAGGTAAATTTTGATGATACACAATTATTCAATTAAATGCTTACATTATTTAACAACTTTTTATATAATGTAAAATTGATATTTATTTATATTTTAAAAAATATATTACCTAAACAATAAAATGTTTATTAATTTTATTTTTGTATAAAATTAATATACTTGATCAAAACCTTTAAACTAATAGTTGAATTTATCAATATTAAATTTGAAGACTTAAATTTAATTCAAACTAATAGCTTTTCTATAAAATTATAGCATATTTTTATAGTAATTTTTGTATTATTATAATATGAAATTTCCAACTCTCAAGGGAAAAGAAAAAAGAAAAGAAGAAGAGAGGGTGTAAACCCAAAATACACAGGTAATTAAAGTAACAACTTGCATATATGAAAGTAGTAGAATCACGTGTAGTAATTAAAAGTAACAACTTGCATATAGTCAAAAACAGTAAATGTGCAAAGTATGTTGTAAATAGTAATATTCCTTTTAAAACCATTTTGTAGATTTAGAATTTGGTTTAGTTTACTTTTTATGGTGTGTTTGGAAAAATATATGCAAGTCTTAGAATCGTGTTCAATACACTAAGCTTAGTTTAAAATTTGTGCTAATATTTATGGTTATTTTAGAACACAATTTATTTTGCATAAAAATCCTGGTTTTATTATCTAATGACAAAATCAAAATGTGTGTTATTTTGGACAAAGAAAACTCTGATAAAATATGTATTAACAGAAAAAAAAATTCATAATTTAAGTATTATAATTTTTTTTAATTTTTTATCTGTTTTAATCCAAATTGCGCACTTGAATATAGTGTATAAATTTATCATTAAAATTTTTTTACATATATAAAAATTTAAACTCAAAATATTATTTAAACGATACTAAATCGCTTATCCTTGAGACTAACTTCAGTAAGTTAAGTATCATATTTTTACCTTTAGCAATAATTTTATGCATATATTATTTATACATGTAGTGATTTTATTAATAATTATATGAAAATTACTTCCTTTATCAAAATTACTTTTGTTTCAAGTCTTTAAACACTATACTCTTATATACTCATTTCTTAACAAAAATAAAAATAAAAATATCAAATTCAAGCCAAAACTAATCTAATTACATGCTTAATTAAGACAGATTAAATCTTTCACTTTTAAACTTAATTTTATTGATTCTCTTTATTATCTCTTTTATAATTACGAGAATATGTACTAACTATTATGGTCAAAATAATGTTATATATTCAATCGCTTTATCTCTTACTTTTAGATGATGGTGCAAGAATTTATGGAAAAAAAGAAAAGGAGAGATAATGGTTTAGGTAGAAGTGAATTTCGAAGGTATCGACTTTTTGAAGGTTGGATGGATGAACTAAGACTGATATATATAGATCCTGATATCGTAAAGAATGTTTCATTATTATAATTTTTATATGTGTACCAAAAATATCTTTTAATTAATAGTTCAAGAAAAATTCTTTTGAGGTTACAGATTCAAAATAATTTTCTATATATACACAATAAAAATAAAATTCTCAGTAACATGTTTAAGGAACTTAATTATTTATCAGTTACCTCAAATTTTGTTGATACCTCTTTATTTTGTGTTGTAAAAGTAAAATGCTTAAAAACAAGTAGAAATCTACACATATTCAAAAATAAAAACAAACATCAAGTATCAATTTTAGTAATATGACCCTTTTAATATGTGTACAAAATGTATCAAATAATATGAATTTTAACGTAGGAGTAGCAAAATTTAATTATTAATTTAATTATGAATAGTTAAAACTTAAATACATTATAAAATATTTTAAATTAATGATTAAATAACATAATTTACGATTTACTCCTCCCTCACATGCAAAAAATTCTATCATGCTATGTGATCATTTAAAAGATTTTTTTTTTTTTACTTTCACAAAGTTCTTCAAAAATAAATAGTTAAAAAATATAATTGCATTAACTTTAACAATTTCATAGTAATTAATCAATTAATTTTTTAAGTCCGGCCAATCAAACAAATAACTCAATCAATAATTTGTAATATTAATATAATTTAATCAAAATAAAAAAATTGGAATTAATCAATCATATGCCTGCTTTTATAATTTAAGCTTGTCAAATATTATATTTATTTCAAATAATTCTCTAAATACATAAAGAATTCATATTATATATATCGGATATTTCCCTTGCTCCTTCAAATGTAAGTTGTTTTATTTATGATTATTTTCTTAGTTCATATTTTTATTTATAACAATTTTCATAATTTTTTAATGTTAAATTTATAAATCAACATGATTTATACATGTTATTGATTTATGTTGGATGTTCACGGTTGGGAACCGCTACTCCCCACCGCACTCGATCACTACTCACTGCTGCAAATCTGGGCGCGAACAAAATAAACGGAACTGAACTACTGAACATTGTTTTCTTGACGCATTTGGTTCCCACTTCAAGTTTCCATCACCGTCGCCGTGCTTGTATTTTGTTAATTAATACGACGTCGTTTCCTCACACTCTCAAGACGACGGAGAATGGCGGCGAGTAACGGCGGAGCCTCGGTGGAGAAAGTGATCAGCGGGAGAGAAGAATTCGGCGATTCATCCAATTTGTTCAAATCGATTCTAGCAATGGCTCTGTGGCTGGGAGCTATTCATTTAAACGTCGCATTGATCCTCGTCGCCGTCTTCTTCCTTTCTCTCTCCAAATCGCTCTTGTTCGTTCTCTATCTCTCCCGCATTCTTCATTTTTTCTTCAATTTTGTTGAGTTTTGGTGGCTTTTCGTGTCAGGGTTTTCGCTTTTCTGTTTGTGTTTATGGTGCTTCCTATCGACGATAAGAGCAAGTTTGGCCGGAGATTGTCAAGGTAGTTTTTCGTTTTCGTTGCCTTTTTTTTATTTTCACAAGGCATTATTCCAGTAGTTTGCTTTTCTGCTGTGGTTCAACAATCATAAAGCATGATTCGATCATTTTCCTTTTCTGCTGTGTGTCAACAATATTATTCTCTTTGGTTTTCGGTATATTTCAGGTACATATGCAAGCACGCTTGCAATTACTTTCCAATCACGCTTCATGTTGAGGATATGAAAGCCTTTGATCGTAGTCGTGCTTATGGTTTGTATCAAAAAACTGTAAAGTCAATTTTCGTAATTATGTGTCTGTTTTCCCCCATGAACGTGTGTGTTTTTCCCTGCCTAAATTTCTCTTGAAATGGAAAGATAAATTATTTTTAAAAAAAACTTGTTTCCTACTTTGATTTAGGGGCGAACCTGTTTTCATGTTTCTTGGGTTTGCTTTAGGAGGGAAAGGGTCATAAGTCATGGGACAGTCGGAGGATATTATGTCATCATTACCTGGAATGGCTGTTTGTTCACGAGCTGGAAAAGTTTATTTTGTACTACAATCCAAAGGGGATTAGACAGTAGAATGCTATTCCGTCTGTTCTGAAGTGATTAATGAAGTAATTGCAATATTGTACCAATCCTATGTTTAGTGTATCTAAAGCCTATATCCCTTCTCTTCTGTGTTTCCTCATACGGTAGAGAAATGTCTTTTTCTTCTTAATTTACTCAGCCTAACATTGTGGTGGTTGTCATTGTTATTCTTGTTTTGTTGTTTAATCCAATTCTTCTTCCTGTGGTGTCTCAACCTAGGACGGTTTTTATTTGTAGCAAATTACTTTAACCAACAGTCGAACCAGTTAAATTTCATGAGATTTCTACTCTAGTATTTGCTTTCATAGCTCAAATGGATTTCTTTCTCTCGATGTGTGCCAAATTAGGGCTAACCGTTAAATCTTGATTTCTATGTTGAATACTGATCTGGTGTTCTGTTGGACTGCATCGACCGTATTCTCCTTTCAGTGTGTCATAATCAGGATAGGCCTTTTCACAAAACTGCGTATCTTCTTTATATTGACTGCTAAGTGCCAATTATCCTTGTTGAAATAACTTCTTGCTTAACCTTGGCGTGAATTAGATAAAAAAACATGATTTCAAGTCTTAAGCAAGCATATTGTCTGGAAATCTGGTTCACCTCCTCCGTTGCTCGAATTTTGCACATATCTAATTAACATAATTTGCAGTATACTTTATATTTCCCCATTGGTTAAGCTTTGTATGATTCCTAATTTCCTATGATGACTTTCTTTGGAAGCCAAACTGACTGTTACTTAAGTTTCTCCAGTTTTCTTGGTCATTTTCGTCTCCTGTTGGAATGGAGTCTTGAACTCAATTTGTCTGCAGAATTCGACTTAATAAGTCATTGGCTATAATATTTATTTCTATGTTCTTGTTCTTAGCTCTTTGATTGTAACAACGGTGTGCCCAACACGCAGTTTTTGCTTATGAACCACATTCAGTTTTGCCGATTGGCGTTGTTGCACTAGCTGACAGCACAGGTTTCATGCCTCTTCCAAAAGTTAGAGTTCTTGCTAGCAGTGCGGTAAAGCTTTAACTCAGGAATCTGTAATGATGAATGATGGTTATTGAGGATTTCATTTGAAGACTTTCTCTTCACATTTAATGGATAGGTGTTCTACACACCATTTTTGAGACACATATGGACATGGTTGGGTCTTGCTCCAGCAACAAAGAAAAATTTTATCTCCATGTTAGCATCTGGCTGTAGTTGCATTTTAATACCAGGTGGAGTGCAAGAAACATTTCTCCTGCAGCGTGGCACTGAGGTGCATTGTTTCTCACTCATATTACTCATACATATGTGATACTGTGATACTTATATTCTTTTGACTATAGATGAAAATTTTCATTTTCCTGTACATCTAGTATTGTTATTGATGCCAACTGCCAAGTTTAATAATGTGACTGTTGGAGCAGGCAATTTTCCTAGCTACGCAAATGGCTCAACTAATAATTGCATTTGTTTCAAATTTCTATAGTACATTAGTTTTTTTTATCTCCTTTTGTTTACTATTATATTTTCTGTCTAATTTCTGTTTAGACTTCGACGGAGGAAAGAGAAATACAGCTTGGCCTTGTTTGGGTGAACCTCTTGAGAAATCCTTATAGAAGAAAAAAAAATAATATAAATAATGAATAAAACATTTTTCATAAATTAAAAATAACTTATTTCTTCAAATTGAAGTTAAATGAGAGAGCTTTTCAGAACTTCTCAAAAAATAGAGAAATATATAAGTGGTTTCTAATTTATAGAGAAGTTTTATTTATTTTTTATGCCGATTTTTAGGAACTACAACCAGAAATTATTCAGCCCATTATATTGTGTTTCCTGCATGCTGACATGTCAATCATGATTGAGTTGTGTCTGGTGTGTGATAAGTAAAATCTTGTTGAATAGGTAGAAAATATTTTACAGTATACATACCATTTTTATCTTCTAGCCTCTGCCGAGTATGCTTTGACTACTAAATGAATACTGTCCAAGAAGCTTTGGTTCTGGTTTTGTAGATATAGGAAGAAATGGTCTATCCATGAAGTGAGTCTTTCAAGAATGACCTTGCTCTGTTCATTATATATTTATTTCACAGAGGAAGGCAGTATAACTTGAACTTTTTACTTTGTAGATTGTTTTCCTTAAGGCAAGAAGAGGATTTGTCCGCATTGCAATGGAGAAGGGCCAACCTTTGGTTCCAGTTTTCTGCTTTGGTCAGGTATTTATTTCTTGTCCCGATCTTTCATATTCGAGTGAAAACCTTGTGTCTTTTACTTGACTCCACATGTCAGCTTTGCAAAATTATTACTCTAAAATGTAGCTGGGTGTCACTGCAGTATCTGTTAATGTTGCTGATTAATGTTATTCATTTTCTTTGCTCCTACTTGTTTTTGCTGTGATGTTTTCTTTGTGCATACAATACAAGTTGAAGATAACTATCCTTTTTGGTGTAAATTTGCTATAGTCAGATATCTATAAGTGGTGGAAACCAGGTGGGGAGTTCTTTCTGAAATTTGCAAGGGTTATCAAGTTCACCCCAATATATTTTTGGGGAGTTTTCGGGTGCGTGTTTCATTTTGTCTTACCTTGCATCTTGCCCTTCTCATTTTCGGTTGCTTGTTTCATTATGCCTGTTTTCACTGATGAAGTTGCTTGGGGTTCTTCTAAAACTAATGAATCTAATTAATATTTTATGCTTAAAGTTGAGGCCGTGCAATTGATTAAATTGGAGAGGATGGAACAAACAATATAATAAACCATTTTTAAAATGTAAAACCGTGCTTGGCATTAAGAATGCTATATGGAACTAATAAGAGCGTTTGAGGCAAAACAAGTAAATTTGGCTATACAACCATACAAAGAGGTTTAGATTCTTTTATTTAAATCTGGTCTTAACTGTCCATTTTAGTTCTATGGTCAAAATTAACGCTTTTCATACTCTCACTTGATATGTTTTCTTTATATTTGTTATATATTTTTTGACAACAAAAGGAATTAGCACCTAATATGTATGGAAACAATAGTAAAAATGAATATGCCAAGTTTTGTAGGGAATATGCTTAAAATATTTGCTAAATGTGATTGAAAGGTGGAATCGTTTGCTGTTGTGTAAGATGTATGCCTTTTCCAATCAGCTTTTAGTAATAAGAACTTGTCAAGTTTTTTCTTCTTGTGGGAATTTTCATTTTATATTGAAGACAATTATGGGCATTGAATAATTGATTTTGGGAGAGTAGCCATTTCTTGGTGTACAAGCATAGTGTCTAAACTAGTTAGCATGGAAGTTGCTTGTCTCTGGAGTTATTAAAATTATTATTGTTATTAAACAGATCTTCTCATTTACTTTTCAGATCTCCGTTACCATTCAGACATCCAATGCATGTAGTGGTGGGTAGACCAATTGAGCTTGAGAAAAACCTAGAACCAACCACCCAGGAGGTATGTATATTGGACTGTTTTTATGTTAAATTGATTCACTAAGATGGTAGAATTTGGAGTAATTACATGAGAAACTTCCACCTGGTTTGATCATTATCCAGTCTTCTCCTTTGTTAGTGTTGTGAGTATCATGCATTGCCTCTATATGAAACTCGGGTCTTCGTCTATGAGAATAAGATAACCCCTATGTGTAGTCTTCACACGTAGTCATGTGTGCTCATTTTGTGATAAAAGTTTTCTGAGCTTACATATCAAATATAATCAATATCATTTTCTTGTCAATTAATCATTCATTCTTCTAAAGAATTTTTTTTCTTTTAATCAACCACAGGAATCAAATGTTATCTTAATTATGACTACTGAATTTTTTTTTCTTTTAATCAATGCTCAAATTTCTTCATATAGCATTAGGCATCCTGGGAGTTTACAAATCACTAGTAAAATAATATTTTATTAACTAACCTATTTTTTTATAATTTTTAAAAATGATAAACTCTCATTTTAGTTCTTAGATCTTGAAATATGTAACTTAAGTTAGTCCACTACTACACCCCCCATAACCACATTAAAATTCAATCTTTTTGTCAGCCCACTTCACACCACATACTCCTTCAGATTGTATTGTCTTCTCGACTCCTCTAATGCCGCCTCTTCTGAGTATGGGAAATCATCTGCTTTGACTAAAATGGTCCTTAGCGTCCTTCCTTCTTCATTCAAATCTTCATCCAAACTTTCGGATTTGAGGTTTGGATCTGGTGGTTCAGGTGACAAAACCTAGATAAAGGAGGTTTGCAGCGTGAATGCTGTTGCAAAGTGGCTGGAAGAAGAAAGAAGACATCATAAAAGGAGGGTGAAGTAGAAGATGAGGAAGGAATTTTATTGTCTGAAAATATTAAAAGTCAGGTGACAAAACCTAGATAAAGGAGGTTTGAAGTGTGAATGTTGTTGCAAAGTGGCTGGAAGAAGAAAGAAGACATCATAAAAGGACGGTGAAGTAGAAGATCAAGAAGGAATTTTATTTTCTGAAAATGTTAAAAGTCAGAAAAAAAATAAATTATTTTTAAAATATTATAAATAACGTCACTTTATATCAAAATAAATTATTATATATCAATTAATATTATATATTACGATTCTGTTACTCAATTTTAACATGTCTTAATAATAAAAATTAACGTGATTGATATTTACGAAGATTAAAATTTCACATTCAAAATTGAAAGAATTGATAAAAGTGAAGGTTTACTCATAAAATTATTTTTTTATTAATTAAATTGAAATTTTTTTAATGTTTTTTATATATCACTAATAACAAAATATGCGTAATTTACTAGATACTTGCTAATTGCTAGTATATTTTCATAATGAAAGACTTGTAAATATGATGACACATCAGTATTTCATGATGAATTGCTATACACTGTATGATGAATTTCCGACCTCTTTGTTAACATGCTTTTAGGTTGCCAAGGTACACACTCAATTTGTGGAAGCACTTCAAGATCTATTCGAAAGGCACAAAGCTCGGGCTGGTTATCCAAACCTGGAGTTAAGAATTGTTTGATAAGGCCTTAATATCGTCCCATATGTTCACTGGTTTATTTATTTATTTTCTTTTGGGGATGGGGTTGGCGAATGTAATTTGGGCTATAAATTGCTTGGAATAAGAGACCAACTTTCACCCCAGGGGAAGGGTAATAATGAGAAATGAGGTGGTAGCTATCTCTAGTTTGGTTTATCTATTATTTTTCAATATAAATTATATATCATTTTATAGACACGTTTATGCCTAGCCTCTATAACTTTAAAGGTGTTAGGCTAAGCAACAATTGATTATCTGAAATGCATTTTCTGTTAGAATCGATTGGACAGTTATTTCTACGGTTCAACCAAATAAAATCTTAATGTTTTTTTTTTATATGTCTAAATATATTTTACATTTTTAGTTCTTATAATTTAAATCAATTTTATTTTTTATCCTTGTACTTTAAAAATGAATTTTAATCCATAATATTAAAAAAATTGGTTTTAGTATTCATTATTTTAAAATAATTTTTACTGTTGTTTAAACTTGTTGAAAATTTAAAAAATGAGAGAAAAATACTAATTTAAAAGTAAAATTTATAAAAAAAATTATACTTTTTAATAAATTTTAACTAATAATAAAAGATGTACACAGATAGTGTTGTTAAGATTATTCATATGTCAAAATATTTGTTTGATATAAAGTATAATAATTTGAATCGTTGTATAATATATTAAAAGAAATAAATTTAAATAGAATAAAATTATAAAGATCAAATTTAAGACAAAACAAACTTATAAAACTAGAATGTAAATTTATTAAAGTTTAAATTATAATTTTAGTCTCTGTTCTTAACTTGCTTTTATTTTAGTCTTTACTTAAATTTTTAATAATTTAGTCTTTATATAAAAAATATTAAAAAATAATTTGTATCTTCATCAAAGTTATAACAATGTTAAGTATATTTTCACATAAGAATCAAGGCAAAAATTAGCGTCATATGCAAAGACTAAAATGTATAATTTTTGTAAGTAGGACTAAAATAAAGTGCAAGTTAGAACTAAATTCAACGTTGTTCTAGTTTTGATAACCGTAAACAATTTTTCATATTAAAGCTAAAATGTTGAATTTTTTCATGTAAAGAATTAAATAAAAAATTATGTCAAGTATAAGAACTAAATTTAAAATTAAACTTTTATAAAATTATGACCAAAAACCAAACTTATAAAATATTGGAACCAGAATCAAAATCAAGGTGAAGTGTGAAGACAAATTCCATTTAAACATTTCCATAATCGAGTTTTCTCTCAACTGTGATTTCGATTTGCTAGTTGTGTTGTTTCTTACCATGGCCGTGTCTCCTAGCTCTGTATATTCTCATTTGTAAGAAACTAGCAGAAGTTGAATGACTCATAACCAACATATGCACAAAATAGAAACAAATTTTTTTTTAATTTCACTGTTAAAGACTGGTTAGACATTCACTCCAGCAGCTTCCGAACTACACTATTCTGCATACACAGACACCCTGCTAAAATGCTTTGCAAGAGGGTTAAACTACACGAGAGAATACATGCATCAATGCAATCATAAATCAATCTCTCATCTCTAACTTGATATTTTGGACTTTAACTGATAATTCTAGCTTCTGCTCTTCAATATCTTTTAAAATGGACAACAGGTTGGACCTATAAACTTCACACTTCCTTTTAGCTCGGTCAAGTTGACGTGTCAACTTCTCAATTGTTCTGTCTTGGTCATCCTACAACAAAATTACAATGATCTTTAGAAACAGAACAGAAGAAAATGAAAATGGAAGATATGTTGGAAGAGAGGCAAGGAAATGAATAGGACTACAGAACCTAAATCAAACAGTACATAAATGATTCCAGTGCATAACTACAGCAATTCTGAAGGGAATGTTTGGATGGAGAAGTCTAAAGTAGAAAGGAGGGGAAGGGTAATTTTTCATTATATAAGTAAATATTCCTTATTTCAATAATTTTCTCAAAAGGAGAGATTATCACATAACTTTCCAAACATGTCTTATTTATTTTAATAAAGATTTTATAATTTTCTCAAAATTAGAAATGAAATATTATCCATCCCCTTCCTTCCCCAAAATCTCTTATCCAAGCAAACTAATAGGTTTCATTAAGTTTGACTGATTCCAAATTATAGAACTGTCATCGCTAATACTAAACTCAATTTTTATAGAAGAAAGATACAAGGAAGGTGGGTCAAGAATCCTGCTAAAAACAGAGGAAAAAAAAGATTTTAACAATAATAAAAAAAAATAATAGTAAGTTAAATTATATTCACTATCACAAATGACCCAGTAATACTCTTGACAACATTTACCCTTGCCTATTTTGAGAACTATTATCAACAATAGGTATCTACACAAACAGTGATGGGGCAGAAAAGGTCATGATTTCTACTATAACTCTTCCAGCAACAAGAATTGAGACTCTTTATAAACACAAATCCCTCTCATATAACCAGACTCTTTAATTTGTTCCTTTTACTAAAATGGTGCACAACCAAATATGGCAATTTTGCAGAAATTTTTTCCTTTCTTGCTTGGTTGGTGACCTCGTCCAGAATCACAACAAACAGTTGTTTGAGTACTGCCAGTGGAATGTTCATACTCGAAACCAGTCATTCTGGACTCATATTTTACACCTCTACTTCACTGCTACCCCAAGCACCTGCATCTGCTCCAACCTACCAACTTCCTTCAACAGACACTAGTCTCCCACTCCTTTTTTATAATTAAAGTTAATTATCACTCTGGCAATATGTTTGAAATTTAGTACTAAATGATTTACATAAGTAAAGGAAGTTAATTCAGTTTGGACAGTTTTTTGCAAAGGTGTCTTGTCCTTTGTGAATCAGAATTGATATGGATTACTCTTAATCGCAATACAGAGTAATTTTCACTGGTGCAATTGAATTTTTGAATGAGGATTTTATAACTCTGATCAGATACTAATATTACACTTCTGATTTTCTCTTCCTTCCCTAATCTTTTCTTCTTCTTCTCTTTCATTGTACTCTTCAGATCACATCTGTTGGTATCAGAACATTATTTGTCCTACATCAACTAGGTTTCAGCTAGCTTAAGAATATTTATTCAACTGTGTCAGTTTTTAAAAGTGTAGATGAATTGTTACAACCATCAGATTTATACATATACTCCAAAGTTACAAATTAGAGTTCTCTTTGAAGCAACTGAACAACAAATTCAGTCAAAAGGGTTTAGCAATTCCAACTAGCAGAAAATAGCACAAAACAACAGATGTGTAAACAATAAAATTCAGGAGCAAGAACATAAAGACTATTGTCTAAAAATAAAATAATCCAAATTGATAAGGAAGAATTAATTAAATGCAGTGGGGATCCTGAGAGCCTTTTGAAGTTAATCAAATAACAGATTTGTTATTTACTCAAGGAAAGTTTTTAGATTGAAGCTCTCCAAAATTTACATGGACACAGCATAATAAAAACAAATAGAGTGAAAAACTATATCAAAATGCAGTTGACAATTAACCGTAAAAACATTTTTAAATAAAACCGCAACCAGCGATGGTGTCCATCTTTGAACTACCTTTATCGTATTTATGGTCATGAACTACCTTTAAGAAACAAGGTTTAAAACTTCCTAAGGAAGAGGAAAGGTAGGGTTATTTTGCCCCTCTTTGAATAAAATGGTAGAAGAGCAAGAGAATTATGGTACAATTTGTATAAACCATTTTCATTTATAGTTGGAAAGAACATAATAATATAAAACTAGAACAATTTAAAATTATGATTAGCACATCTGAGACTTCTTCATGAAGGACAAAAGTACAGAAACATTGCTGCGAGAAGAAACTGCTTTCATTAATTACCAAGAACAATACCTTAGATGAAGATTGTTGTGCGCCAAATTGAGGATCACTACAACTTATAGTTGTTTCATTGCTCTGAAGAACATCTTTACAAGTTCCATTTAAAATAACATCTCTTCCACCATTTTTTGTTGCAAGTGCCACTTTATTTGCAGCCTCCCGAAGGGCACTCATTGCCACATCGTAAATTTTTCGAGAGCTCACTCCCTCATCAACATACTTAAGGGCCTCATAACGAAGATTATTGTATCTGATAGTTATAGATTCTCGAGCACCATTGGACAAATCAGCAGTACGTTGATCCAATATGACACCACTTTTAGCATTCCTGGTCCATCTTTTTAAAATAAAATGAGATGGTAAGGTAAGAAGATTTGTCACCCTAAAAACAGTTAATATGTGTCTACAAACTAGACCAGAAAACTCAAACATCTGGCAACTACAAGTAGCTTTCATCTCAAAATAATTAAATCTGACAAAGTAGGCCCTATGAGTTTCCCCATACTTGGCTACTCTATATGTGGTAATCATTTCTTCTTCATCTACTTTGTTTGCCAAGAAAGTTAATGTCTCAACCAACTCTTCTTGAAACTTGATAAACAATCTCCTTGTGTAAACTCCAGCTGCCTGTTTCTCCATAGGTGATGGAGTCTTCAGAACCGGAGCAGTGTTAATTGTGTCATAGTCAGCTTTGACTTCTTTCTCATAACGGCTCTCCAGAGCCCTCTCGTACTGCTTAACAAAAAGCTGAAGTGTTGTTGATGCATTGATATATCCGTCAAAGTAAGAGTTTATGCTATCACTTCTTTGTGTTATTGACATTTCTGCAAAGAAAGTGTCCCTCAAGTACACTGGAACCCACTGCCGCCTATCACCATAAATTGCTTGGAGCCATTCATTTTCCCTGAGATCATACCTATCAATTAGAGAGGACCAACAAGACTCAAACTCCTCAGTGGACTCTGTCAGGTTAACACATTTGTGGAGGTCAGCTTCAAAATTAGGGTGTTCAGAAAGCACATGAGACAACTTCTCTTGGCATTCTTTAAAAATGTGCCACTTGCAAAATCGGTGGCGAGTATTAGGAAAGACACAGTTGATGGCTGCACGAATCACCCTATCATGATCAGTAGTGATTGAAACTGGAGGTCGGCCTGACATTGCTTCAAGCCAGGTTTTGAACAGCCAAACAAAAGAAGCCTCAGATTCATTTATCAGAAGAGCACAACCAAATAATACAGGCTGTCCATGATGATTTATTCCAGTGAAAGGTGCAAAAGGCAATCTATAGCGGTTTGACCTATATGTTGTGTCAAAGGTGACAGTGTCACCAAAGTAAGTGTAGTTAGTCCTGGCCTTGGGATCAACCCAGAAGATATTACTCATGCAATGATCTTCATCACCCTGTACAGAATAGAAAAATGAAGGATTCTCTGTTTGTTTTCTCTTCAAGTAATCCAGGAGGATTTGAGTGTCACCTCCAAGGGTCCTTTGCCTACTGCTCCTCATATAATTCCTACAGTCACGCTCAGTGAAACCAATATTGCTAATTCCACCATACTCTTTGATAAGTGCAGACATTATTCCACTGGGCCCAATTCCAGCACCCTGCAAAGTATCAATCAATGACTTAGCTGGACCCGAAACATGGCGATGAGAACGAAGGCAATGCACCTTATCAGGGGGAACCAATTCATGGTTGTGTTCCTTGACAAAGGAAGAAACAACCCATCTGCCAGAATCTTGAATTTTCACAACCAACATCGCCTTGCAGCCAACTCGGGTTTCAGCACGAGGCCGCTTCACTCTCCCATCAATAGAATGCTTCTCCTTCTCCACACGAAAACCTTCCTTGGCACACACAAAAGACCTCTGAATTATGGCACCATCGCGCCTAGAGCGTCGAGACATGCTCACCCTTGTACTAAAGCCAACACGGCGAGCATACGAATTATAGAAGGCCTTAGCAGCCTCTTCAGATTCAAAGTCCATACCTTGATAAGGTTCAAGGTTGGTGTCCCCTCCTGGGATTTGAGGTCCCATACCACTAGCTACACCAGTAATAACAGTAGCAGCAGGAACATTATCAATGTTCACAAGGTCATCATCATCTTCAACAGGGTGCTCAATGTCAATGGCAGTATCATCCCCCAATCCAATCATATCAAATTCAATAACCTCGTTACTTAAACTCAGAGGTTCAAACTCCATTTTACAGAAAACCCAATAATCAAAATAGCATCAAGGTCTCATCAAGACTCGAACTTTGTTGAAAAATCAAAGACTAAATACAAAAGGGCTCAAATGATTAAATACAAAAAACGCCCATCATCATAATTTATGTGCATGAATGATACAGTTTCAGCTCTATGAAACCATCACAAATGGGGATGAATGCATGATTAGAAAAGCGGAAAGAAGAATGCCCCAGTGAAATCGGCATGAGGAATTATTGAGAGGAAAAACAATAACGATTAAAAAATAAAAAATTGGAAAAGGAAAAAAAGGGCAAACCCGGATCTTGGAAAAGGAACGAAGTAGGTGATGAAGTTGAAGAAAAGTGGAAAGAGAGAAGCAAAGTTGGGTTATGGCTGAGTTGAATGAGTGTGAGATACAATGAGAGAGAAACATTTACTGTGTTCAGTGGTAGAAATTCAAAAGCTGAAGAGAGAAAGGTTTGAAGAAGAAGCGAAAATGTTGTTACCGTAATATTAGCAAAGTTGGGTTTTCACTGATTTGATAATGCCTTAATTCTGCTTTTTAGTTTCATGGATCTTAATTTACTTCTGATTTAAATTTTGTTATTTTAATTGTTAATATTTTTATAATTTTTAACTGTTTAAATTATTTTTATTTTAAATATTTACTGAATAATTAATAAAAGTATAATATATTATTGATTCAATAAAATTTATAAAAATATATATAAATTATTAATGGAAAACAAAGTCATTAGATATTATACATTTTTACTAATTGTTTAAAATATTTTAATAATTTATACAGATTAATAATATGTCTGTCCCGTGTATTTTTTTAATTATTAGATAAAATTTTATAATGAGAATTTTAATTTAAACAAATATTAGTATAAGATATTATAGGCATGTTAATATAGATTTTAAAAAATTATAATAATATTTTAATTTTTATTAATATATATATTAAAAAAATTAATTTTTATTTATTAATAAATAATACATTTTGTTAATGATTATCAGAGTTTACCTGCAAAAAATCAATATAATATGAAAAAAAAACAGTCTGTTAATAATCTTTCATACTTCAACTTCAATGATTGATATTACTAAATTTTGTCTCAAAAAAGTTATTAGACTGAAGATTTTATTAAAAATTTTTTATTTAATTTAGATTTAATTTGAGTCATGCATTTAGACGTGATAAATGAATTTATTATTAAAAAAATATTAAATAATATAAAAAAATTATGAAATAAATTAATCTTTTCATTAGAAGATGTATAATTGTTTTTGCTATCTGATGAATTTTATTTTTAAATTAAATAAGAAAATTAGCAAGAGAACTAAAATATCTTAAAAATTATAAAACAAAACACTAAATTGGTCTAAAAATTATTTTAGTTGATTGTCTTGATTCCTTCGTTATTAAGGTTGACTTCATAACCATTTTTATATTTTTAGACCCGTTTTTACTTACATCTATTCTCTATTTTTTATTTTCTTTTTTTCTATTACATCATTTATTTGTCTTCTCTTTCTTTTTTGTTTTTTTCTTTCATTGATAAGAATCTAACTGCCAAATGAGACTAGGACTCATCTGAATATTAAGGGAAAAAAAATCTTTGAAGAATCAAAGCTTTACTTCTAAGAACCCCGTCATCACTACACCAACTTTCTCCAAATTTAACCCAAGAATTCCATTTTATCCATATTTTTCTATTTCTTTACATGTATTTTTTTAAATAGTTATAATTTATTAAAAACATGTCATTCATTTTTAATTTTTTTGGATACATTATTATATAAGAAGGGAAATAAAAAGCTAGGATCTAAACAAGGTAATAATGCACATGGTATCAGCTAAGGTCATTGGATGATAAAGAATAATATATATTAATTACCACGGCAATGGTACTCGGTGCAAGTTGCATTTTCTTTAAATAATAAGCACATATATATTGGATAAAATTTTGTATAAAAGTGACAGATTTATCTTTTTGAGGAAGCTTGCACAAAATTACAGATAATATAGGTAGTTCCACTACCCTTGCTGAAATGAGATAAAAAAAATTAATAATAATAATAATAATAATAATAATTACAAAATTAAGATACAAGCCACATGAAGTAGGTTGACCAAAGAGTGACTGCAATTGACGCCAAAATATATGTCCACAGCATGATAACAGAGCATTCACTTTCACCTGCTCCAAACAATTGAGCTATGGTGCCTGCCAGAAGGAAGTAACATTGGAACAGTTATATCAACTATTAGGGTGAATTCATTCCAACAAAGTGGATCTATTTCAATGCTATACATTATAATTTTCACCTTCTAATGTGCTTTCATAATTTTGTTATATTTTTAAACTTGCGTTATATATAAAAACAACTTTTTAATAATTATTTGAAGCAAAAACAAATAAATCAAATTAATAAAAAATTATAAGTAAAATTCAACTTGTATTTTTCTGATATTTTACAAGTTTTTTTACTTAACTTTTTCATATAACGTGATTTTATCTTTTTATCTTTTCCTTCTAATTACTTGGTGTGAAAATGTTTCCAAACTATATCTACTTCTACTGAATTGAAAAGGTGGAAAAACAGTTGATACAAACCCTACGTTATATGTAAAACCAGAGAAATGATAAATAGATACGAAGAGCATGCATATTGATCTTCAACTTGACATGCATATAAACTATGAACATCATGTAGTGAGAAAATTGAAAGAGATGAATAGAGATATTCAGTGCAATTGTGTCTCTAATTCTCTATTGACCCACCAGATTCTTTTTTATCAAGAAACAACTATAAAAGTGGAGGTTTGAAATATATACCTATAGCCATAGCTGGCGGAAGTGCAAATTGAAGGAGAAGTATAAACTGATATAAGGGATCTGGTTGCACCAAACCCAAGTGTGTTGCAAGTTTAATAACTAGAATACCCAAAATTGGGAGGAAAATATATCGAACTGCTATAATTCCAATAATTGTCCAGAATGAAGTACTTGCTCCTTTCAATCCTGGTCCATTCATCCATGAAAGAAATTATTCATAAGCTGCCCAAATAGGAGGAGATAAAAACAAAAGGAAACACCCTAGCTATGTATATAAGAACTTATATTACCTTTAAGAAGGTTTGCACCCATTATAAGTGTTACAGTTGGGATGGCAGCATCACTGCATATATAATAAGATGATGTGAGGGAATAAAATCTCTCAGGAAGTTCAAGTGAATTAAGTGATCGATCAGCAACGAAATGCAAGTTCAACTCTATACCTAAAGCAATGTATCTTTGAATTTTCTACAATATAAACATTTACTGATTGGTGCGTATTTAAATTTATAAAACGAGAAGTTGAATATAATATTGTTTATTTTTTTTCAAGAAGTTTATATAATAACTATGTGATATGTATATGATATATGGCAACGTGAATATAGAATGAGTAAGAGTCAAGATTATTACTGTATTATGCTATAAAGTAAGGATCTTTTCACTATTTCAAATAGCATATATACCATGCAACTAAAGAAGAGTTGTCTAATTTCTTTTTTGTCTTAAATTGTTTCTAATAATCTTTTGAGATATTTAATTTCTGATACCGACATATTTAATATATAATGTAATTCCTATATGTAATATCATATATAGTATTTGGTACAAGAATCAGAATTCTTGACCATTCTTTTGAAAAAATTCTCTTCGAATAATCAAATGATAAGATATAGGTTGGTATTTTATACATGGAGCTTTATATTTATTTAGATCGAGGGTATGGTTGGTGTTTATATATAGAGCTTGGAATAAAAAGCCCTAATTTCGTGTCTTATTATTCCCTGTTTGATTTTGTATAGAAATCATTTGGAACCATGGCTGCAGGAGCACGACGTTCAGGAAAATGATGCAGTATCTGGTCAATAACAATAACTTCGTATTTTTAATATTTTTTTTATAATTAAATGAGATAAATATCAAATAAAATGAGTAACATAATAAAAAAAAAGAGAAAACAAAATTATAAAAAATGTATTATAAGAATAAAATAACTCTAATAAGTATATTGGTCTTTTTACATATTATTTTTTATTTTATCCATCATATTTATTATTTTTCTTCACTTTTATCTACCGTTTAATTCCAAGGTGTATATATAAAATACCTTATTCGATCTCCAAAGATCATTTTAAAAGAAAAATGTCATTATATATTTATTTGGAAATATATAATTAAAAAAAAAGTTGTTGATTTTAGTCTCCCATTGGATGTCTTCTAAAAAAATTCATATGTTCCAAAAATGTCACGTGAAAACATTTGTTATTTACATCGTTATTTAACAGTGACTATTAATTGAAAATAATAATTTTAAAATACAGAAATTAAAATTTTTTAAAACATATATGATCAAAATTAAAATATGACACTAGAATGTATTTTGTTGCTTGGATGTAGTTGTTATAGAATTAAATTATGATATATTTTGAAGAAAAAAACATATTTAATCTTATTTTAAATTCTAATATTAAGATATGTAGAATTTAAAACTCCATGGAAAAGCAACAAACGAGGTCCCTCACGAAGTTCTTAATTAGACATTTTGACACATATACCACCAACATGATATCACTTGCAACAACAAAATTTAGCCATGCACAGATTTCTGGCTTTTCAATCTTCTGTAATTTCAAATTCTTAAAAGATGAAGTTTTCGCGTGCATACCCCAGCATGGAAGTAGAGTCTTCAAGCACATGAAAGGGAGCACTGCTGCCAATCATCAATTTACGTATCTGGGGAACTACACCAACAATAAAGCCAGCAATCTGCGTTACAAAGAAAAAGAAAAAAAATAATTTTCATAAAAAAAAAAATCATCTTTCACTTGGATTGAATGATGAATATTTTTAAAATATTGCAGCTTGAATTACTCTATAATGTTAACCAGTATCTTAAGAACATTAATAAAAAAATTCAAAATTAAATTTTTTTTAAAAGAAACATTTTACTTAAATAGATTTCTAAAAATTTATTTTTTTATTAAAACTAATTCCGTTGTATGATTCATGTAGCCAACCTTACTTACTTAGTAAAATAAGATTTTATCATTGTATTATTATTAATGCACTTTTTCCTATGATTTTTAGCCCATTTAACATAATTTTTAATAAAAATTTATACTTTCAATTTCCAAACAAGTGCTTATAAGACAATGTTTAGCAAGATTCTCACTCTATTTGCATGGCAATATCTCAGTAACATTAGTTCAGTTGACAAGCAGGGAATATGGTCTCTATAGATGTCCAACAAAAAACACTTTGTATATTTGTATCATACCGCTCCAAGAGTTGCAGGTGACAATATGGCTCTAAAATTGGAGTTGCCTAAAATCTTTCCAAATAGGTGCTTGATTTTAGCTGAGATTGGTACCTGCAATGAAACACCCATAACTTATTTGGAATTGCGTTTCTGGTCATTCCACAAATTAAAAGAAAGAAGATTAGAAGATTGGATGACTCTTGTAAGGAACTTTACTGCTCTCATTCATGCATGTATAATTTATTTTATTGACCATTAGATAGGGATTAGGGAATTCTCCTGCATAAGATAGAAGCTCAAAGGAATTTAAGGGGTCACGAGTTTTACCGAAATAGATAAATTTGGGATAATCAATGGAAAGATGCTTTATGGTACTTGTAAGGATTTTGCAATTTATAGAAAAAGAAAAACTAGAAGCAAGAACTTGGCTTTGACAATTTGTAATTGGGACCCCTTCTTTATATGCCCTTCTATTTGTTGTTAATCTACGAATGTGAGATTATCTTAACATGATATATAAATATAGTGTTAGTAAATAAAACTATTATAAGACATAATTTCGTATAAAATATCTTTTGGAAGGTTTATTATTTGTAGCAACCTTCCCTTTCACCTCAGAACCATTTGGTGAAAGCAGTATCGTGTATGCATCATTCATGTCATCCTTTGCAGGATTATTTGGTTCTGAGCTTTCTTCTGGGAATGATTCTAATATCTCCCCTGAAGCCTCCAATTTGATGGAGTCACTACTTCCATAGCCTTCTTTATGGACTTTACTTGCAGAAATCCGCATGATGTTGTAGACATAAGTCCATATAAAAATAGCTCCAATCTACAGTTTCCCAATGAATACCAGCTCAGAAAATAAAAAACAATCATAACCAACGAAATGTCTTTTTTTTCCAGCTTTTGGTTCCATAACTTCACATTTAAACCCACAATTGTAACTTTAGAATTAACATTAAAGAAGCTCATGAAGTTAAATACCGCCATAGAAAGTGATGCATAAGCCATTCCATATTGATAGCAGACATCAGAGTCTCCAAAAGGATTACCTTTGTCTTTACATATGGCAGGGATAATGATTATAGGCAAGTTACCTAAATTTCCTGCTCATAATTATGAAAGATAAGCTCAACGAAAGATGCATCAGGCCATAAATGATGCTACAGATCCAACCTTAGATAAAAAAAATGATACATTACAAACATAATTGCAAGCTGCAAGACAGGACACATGCAATAAGTTTTGGTATAGTTGTGTAACTTCCATGTCTACAATATATTATAGGCCTTCTGTTTCACTCAAAAACTGGAGAATATTTGGAAATCCAATCATTGCTTAGTTACTTTGTTTGCAAAAATTAGAAAATGTAAAGACCACGTGATATACCAATTTCCATTACAACAAAACTTAGGTACAGTCCCTGAAGTATTTTTTATATTATTTTTTAATCAAAATTAGAGTTTTGCCTCGATATCATCAAGTCATGCAGAATTCAGGGGGAAAAATAGTGAAAACATCACAGAGATTAGAGAAGAAACCTACCTGCAGAACAGACACCTAGTATTAGCCCTTCTATGTGTTTGGGAGGCTTTGTTAATCTGACAAGGATCCATCCTAAGGCTGAGCCTAATATAAATGTAAGGAGGATATTCACCGGCATGAACCACCTAATGACAACAAAAAATGTAACAAACCAGAATTATGAGATGTTCTTGGATATACATGACCAAAAATCTGAAAAAATTCAACACTCACAATAAAGCAACATTCTCAAAAGTTATAGTGTCGGCCAAATTGCCACCCACCAGAGCAGGATTAAACACATAATGCACAAGCTGTCACAGATGAAACACTGTTGTCAATTACATACTAATTCATAAATGGAAATAAGAAAAAAGAGGAAAAGACTTTATTATGCTTTCATGTAGTTACATGATTCACTTGTATCCTTGCATCTTTTCCCAATAAATTTATGTTATCCAATGCAAGAAATAAACCAACTGCAGTAACTAGTAGCACTTTGATCACAGGCATAGAAGCCACCCCAAAAAGCTCCACAAACCCCATTATCACTATTCTTCTGAAAATTTATGCTAATTAATCCTGCACCCAAAGAAGAGACTTTCATAAAGTTAATAAATATATAAACTTTTAGGACAAAGTTCACATCGAAAACAATAAAATGAACCGTACAGATACTGAAAAACACATAACTTCAGTCCCCTTCTATACTATTACAAGGCCTCAACAGATGATATCAACTTGAGTTGGTTGTAAAGAGCATATTCATTTCATGAAACGTCGAAATGAAGAGAACAAAACCATTGATTATACATATCACACATACCTCCGTTGCTTGAACATAAACAACACCTTGGTAGATAGAAAAACTACATGAAATACTGAACACATAAAATAAAGCTAAGTAACGGTGATAAAATTGGACCAGCTAGCACATATAAACATATATATTGACCAATGGTCACCATCCTATATATAAATGTGAACAAGATGCTACTTCATCCTATCCCGTTTAATACAAAGAAGACTGTTATAAAGAGAACCGAATAGAAGAAAAAATTATTTTTCTATTTTGGTAATATATAGCTAAGTAAACGAAATAAGAATTTATATGTAACCATTTTTTATTAAAAAACATAAAATACAATAAGATTAACATGTTATAATTTTGGATAAAAATTATTGTTGATTAATTTATTATTGTGTGTTACTGGATATATGTTAAAATTAAAAAAGAAAAAAATGAAGTGACAATAATGCCACGGCGATGACCCAGAAGCGTGGATTCCGAATGATTGAAGGGGACCAATAAGTTAATAATATTTCCACTATGGTGCTGTGTTGGTCCCATGAAGTTGAATGGTGAACACAATATGATTATTATTACGTACCATGCGGACTCTATGGGCCACTTTCCTTAAGCTTCCAAAAAAGTGTGCTTTTTCTTTTCAATTCAATTTATAAAGTTAATCTTATGACATACAAGATGTTAATACTACTCCTTTGGATCACTTAGAAGAACTTTCAACTTTCATATTATTTGATAAAGCATTATCAAGGGACTTAAATAATGCCCAGAAGATTTGTTTTAATTGAATAGAGGTTAAACACTTAATAAATTTATTTTAATATATTATGACAAATTATACAAATATATCATGTTATGAAATTGAGCACAATTTTGCAAAAGAACAACTTATTTATTAAAAAAACAAAGATGAGAGACATGTTTAATATCATTCGATTTAATAGTTCACCTAACTCTTATTGTTGGAAGAAGATTTCCACTTTAATTCCTATATTTTCACCAAAAATAAACATGAGATAATAAATTTAGTTTTTCCCTAAGATTTTGAATAGTTGTTTCAAATTCAAGTTGATTATGTTTTGTCTTTTTCTTAAAAAAAGACAATCAAACAATTTATTGTCATGATTCTTGTTGATAAAGAAATCTAAGACATTCAATTATGAGTTGTTGTCACTTATGGATTGCACAACTACTCATACTGAATGTGAAACTTGTTAACTTGTTACTTCAACAATTAAGTTTAAGCATTTAAAAGTAAAAAAATTAGTAATATTAATTAATTAAATTCAATCCTAAAAATAAACTTGAACATTTATTTTAAAAAAATTCAAACAACATTTAAGTTGTTGCCTTCAATTACGGGAGAGATGAACACGAAGTGAGCAATTAGCAATGATGAGGTTGATTAGTCAAAAACCATTCGTTGGCATAGTAGACAAGTGGAGAGAGACATCATACAGCAAAATGATAAACTTAGGTTTCAAACGTTACATTTTTTTCAGTAAATTACTTTTTAAAAAAAGTTTTTGGCTGTTGGGATTACAAAGGGACTTGAGAGCCAGTCACAAGACAAAAACGTAGAGGCATTTTTGAAAGAAAATAGTTATATTAATATAGGGTAAATTTTTTAGCTTTTTTTTTCATTTGTAAAGTTTAAATTGAGATTTTACTTAAAAATAATTAAACATATTTTACTTAAATCAACTCCCATTGATGAGATTAGTTAAATTTAAGTAATATATATTAAAATTTTTAAAATAAAATCTCCATATTGTAACTCAAATCAAATTGTCTTTTATTAATAATACTTGTAGTCAGTAAAAAAAGGCCACAACTTAAGAAAAGCTACAAAAGAACCATGGGCAAACAAAAAAGAGGGAATTGAGGCAAAAGAGTGAAGACTACAGAAGATAGTGATTTAAAAATATTGTTAATTTTGTTCTTAAAACTAATTAATCATCTAAAAAATGCTTTTATTAAAAGAATATTTATTATACTTTTATATTTTTAATAAAATCATTTTTTCCTTTTTAATAATTTTTTTTTTTACTTTTATTACTTGTTGGTTAATTATTATGAAATAAGGGGCATATCAATGGTGGCTAATTACTGTTTTATATAAAATATGTGATGGTGATGGGTGAATATATGCTTGAGGATAAGCTGGAACGTAATTCATAGCTGGCTGTCAACAATAACATATTTGGTTTAGAGGGAAATGTTTCAGCCTTTCAAGGTCTATTTAATATGAATTTGGATGGGAATGATATAGAAAAATATTATTAAAGTATTTAATTTTGAAATTTTAATGTTAAATTTAATTTGTATGAAAATTATTATTTTAAAAGTGAATTTAAAAATATTTATTAACTAAAAAGCTTCATGAGTTTAATACTTAAAGTCATTTTTATTTAATAACAATAATTAAAATATTTGGCTCTTCTTAAAATTAATTTGTAGCTAGTAAAGTTTATTTTCAACAAAAATGGAAGAGGAGGTGAGAGAAATTATAAAAAATATTAATAAAATTTTATTTTAGGTTACATTAAGATTTTAATAATTTATTATTTATTTTAACTTTATTTTCATTTCATTTTAATTCTTATTTTAACTTTATTTTCATTTCATTTTAATTCTTATTTTTTTGTACTTTAAATTATACCTTTACACTTATTGTAGTGAAGTTTTATTGTTAAGGATTGTGGCAATTTTTATTGTTAAACCTGAACTTAATAAAAAAATAAATTAATTAAAAGGCATCAAGATAATTAAAAGATCAAGATAAAAAAAACGTAAAGAATCAAAACCAAAAAGTTTGAAGTAATAGATTTTTCTTCATTTTATTTGTATTTTAAATATTATCTGATAAAAAATAAAAATATTTAATGATAGAATTTATCATCCTAATTGATTAATTTTTATTTATAAAATGTATTTAAATTTAAAATACTGGTGTAAAAATTTTATTAGTATATATACTAGATTGTATGGGTGTAGTTCAATTTTAAACACCTAAAAAGGCAATTAAACTTATATGGGTGGGTAAGAGTTTCCACTTTTAATGAAAAAATATTAATTTTGATTTGTTTGATTTTTTTTTCTAAAATGATACATATTATTGTTGTAAAAATAATTATGTATTTTTATAATTATATTTTTTAAACATTAATTTGTTTATTTGGATATTTCTATAATATAGATATTTACACATTATCTTGGCTTATCATCATGTTTTTTAGTATAAAATAAATGAAACTACAAGCCACAAACTTTACTATCATTCTTTTCCTTTTCAAATATAAATGTTGGACCCAATTTATTTGGAAAGTTCAGTGCGCCCTTTATTTTATTCACTCGTGGCTTCATGTTTTGAGCCTGTTAAATTAAAAGAATGGTTAAAAAAATTATCTTTAATCTAAAGATAAAATAATTAACTTAAATTTAATAATACAATTTTTATATTTTTAAAATATTAAAATCACGTGTAATACTTTATGTAAGAATTTAATAATTATCAAAATATTTAAGTAAGAATTTAATTAAAAATACCTTTTTAGAAATTGAAATGAAAACACTAGCGTACTTTCCAACAAATGGGCCATAAAGAAGGTTCATATTTGAAAAAAAAAATCCAGTCAATTTAATTATATTAGCAAATTAATTAAGTATTTAGTCTATTTAATAAAAAAATGATTAATATCGAGATTGGCAAAAAAAAATTATAATATTGAATCAGTCAAATCATATCCAATTGATGATGACAAATAATTTGAGTTAGCTTATTTTAATTTTTAATGAATTGATATCCATGAGATGTTGATTTCATTAATTTATGATAATACATTAATAAAAAATTAATATAATTTTTTATTTAGTTTCTCTAAAGTAAAAAAATTGTGTAAAATAAAAAGTGTAAAATAAAAATATATATACCTTTAATTTAATTTTTAGCTTTTTAAAAATATAATTAACTTCAAATTAATGTTAAATAAATATTTTCTTTGTATTTTTATTTAACTTGAATAGGAGAAACAGCTAATAATAAGGGGGACAGGATGGAAAAGCAGAATAATTATGTCAATCTACCAGATGTTAGTATCCAATAACATAATATTGTTTATAAATATATGAATCTTGTTAGTCAGTATTATAAAAGTATTAATTGGAGAAATAAAAGTATATATATATATATATATATATATATATATATGTTAAAACATACTTAGAAAGGCATGTTAATAATATTATGGATTCTTAATTATAATATCCTTAAAATACTATTTACCATTCACCTATTATTAATAATATGTTTAGTAATAACTAATAATTGCATTTTATTTTTTAAGTATCATTAATTCATATTTGATCATTCAAAAAAACAAGTATAGTTACAAAATTATTGATTTTAAAAACAAGTCTGCAAAAATGGTAAAATAAAAAATACATTTATAAAACATAAAAAAATTTTAATACAATATTAATTATCAATATTAATGGTTATAAATGTACTTTATTCTTTAAAATACATCTTTCTCATTATAGAAAATTAAAATCCAATCCACTAATTCACTTTTAATTATTACACTTAAAATTAAGTTGTCCATTTTTTAGCATACTCTTGTTCTCTAATTTTCATTTTTATATTAAAATTATTAAATAATTATTTTGTATCCCCAATATTTTTTAATTTTTTTTATTTTCTTTCGTTTCATTTCTTTCTTTTTTATTTTGTTTCACGCTTGTTATTCCTCGATTTTGAAACATGACATAATAGTTAATTTAGCTTTGAATGCTTGAATATCCATTTCCTGTTCTAGTTTATTTATTTTACTTTGTTTCTTTACTTTTATTTTTACTTTCCTTTCAGTTTTGTTTTTTTAATCAATAAAAAACTGAAAATCAGAAAATAAACAAAAATAAAATAAAATAAAAAACACAAAGAAAAATTTTTAAAAATAGAAAGAAAATTTAGACAAGCAAATTTAAAAACATAACAATACATTACAATTTAAAATAAAATCTGATATTCGATAAAAAAAAATACAAATAAATATCAATATTATTTTTTACAATTTATGTGTAAATAAATTTCGT